CCCCAAAACCCCAAAACCCCAAAACCCCTAATGAGTCTATAGTTATAGAATAATTACTCGATGTCTTCATCCTCCTCGCTTATTCAAGTGAGGACTTTGGAGACTTGGTCCCTGATCACGTTGAGAAGGAGAGTCTCCTTCTCGTTAGGAAGGTTGTGCTTTTTACTAAATAGTTTAGTTATTTCTTCAGGATCATCTTGTTTATAAACTATGAGCTTCTCCATCTTGTTCTCGGATATGTACACATCCAATTCAAGAGCTGGTGGTTCTGTTGGTTTTATAGGAAATGAGCAACCAGGTCCTGATAACCTCTGTGGCTGCTTAGATAGCGATTTGATCTTCAATGTTTTTCCACTTTTAGACACATTTTGGGACTTGAGGTCTTCATCTATAGTGAACTTGGCAGGTATCTTGGGTATTTCAGTCGGTTTGGGTGCGTTCTCAGTCGATTCCTAAATGGATTTGCCATACTTACTTACCTCAATATCTTCATGAATTTTGTGCTCATCTTTATCATCATCTAAATTGGTCTGGATTACGATCTGAGGCTTGGTCACTTTTATTGATATCTTCTTTCTCTCTGGTTTAGGAGGGTCTAGTGATTCCTTTGACTTAGTAATGTTTTCCTCTCTTTTCTTATTTTTACCAAAAAATTCATTTTGCAGATGTCGAACATGAGCTTTATTTCTAAACTTGAAGCACTTTGAGTCAGCATTTCCAGTTTTATCTTCAAGGTTCATCTTATGCTTCTCGAATACTTTTGGTTGGTAGCTCATTGACGAGTTTCTCTGCTTTCTAAAAATATTTGAACTGGAGATTCCAAGCAAACCAGTAATTAAGACTCGGATGTTTTCACAGCTGGTTACTATATTCCCTGCAAAATAGAAAGATATTTGGTGCCATGTTTTAGTCACTAGGGTCTCCTCTTCCTCTGAAAGAGGTCCACGAGAGACGAGGTTGAAGGTCTTTAAGATACAAAGGTAGTCAGCAAACATTATTGATGAAGAAGCTTGCTTCTTCTCTCTGAGAAGAGTGTCCAATTTTAAGAATTCTTGATGAAGACACTTCTTCTCATGATCTAGAGAGGATTTTGCAGTCTTTACCCTGCTAGTCAACCCTGGCGATTTCATTTTGGATCCCTGAAGGGAGTCATAGGAGTCTTTCATACCCTCAAGAGGTTTCACAGTATGATTTTTAGGAGATCTGTAAGCTGGGTTTATAAAATTCCCTGCTCTTTTGGTTATCTTCTTAAGTCTCTTTGCAATTCGGCTCTTCAGAGATTTCTTTGATTGAACTTTTGTCTGATCTGTTTTGTGTGAAGGAGAAGAAGGGTACCCAAGGCTCCTATAATGCCTCTTCTTCTGACGACTTTCTGCACGATTAGGAAACTTAGGCACTTCTTATGTTAGAATAGGGAGAACTCTTCCTGCTACGAGTCGGTTTCTCATCATTCATGCTTGCTTTACGGACCTTCTTCGGGCTAATAGGGACTTTCTCTATTTTCTTTGATTTCACAGTAATGGAAGGATCTTCAACAGTAAGGTCGAGTTGGACCTCAGGAGGGACATATTCTTTATTACTTTATTTTCTTCTTGATGTGTTTTGACACCTTTATAGGAAGATATTTAATATTCATTATTGCTTTAACTTTCTCTTTATCTTCAGTCGCACTGTACTTTTTGTGGTGATATTTTGGAGCCAGAATTCAAGGCTCTAACAAAGCTATATGTAAGCTTAGCTTTCTTACTGTTACTTCTAGGGTAATCCTTGGAGATACTGAGGTTGTTTTCTATAATATAATGCCGTGAATATATGAAATTTCGGAAGATACTGAATGTAAGGCCCATTTTCGGTTCTATTTCTAACGAAAAATCTTTTTCGTAAATTCTCTCCCACAAGTTTTGCCTCCTGAAGCTCACCTTTGACTTCTTGCTGGGAGACCTGTCTATTACCCCTCTTGTTGGTGCCCTTTTTCTTAGTTTTCTGGGCATTCCAAGCTTTCTGCATTTGCTTTCCAATGGTATTGGCGTCATGATATTTCATTTGTACTTGGGTGTGGTCGCTCTTGGGTTTCATTTTGGAATATTATTATAACGTTTATTCTATCTGAAGCTAGTTGAAGGGGTTTTGGGGTTTTGGGGTTTTGGGGTTTTGGGGTTTTGGGGTTTTGGGGTTTTGGGG